GTGGTAGAGTGCTTGCCTTGCATGCATGAGGCCCTGGGTTCGATTCTTCAGCACCACATAAGCAGAAAAAGCTTGAGCTGTGGCTCAAGTGGTAGAGGGTTTACATTGAGCTGAAGAGCTGAGGGACAGTGCCCAGGCCCAGAGTTCAGGCCCACAACCAACACACAAAAAGGAAAACAAACCCCCCTAGCTACTCCCCACCAAAAGAAAATGTGGTATATATACACAATGGAAGTCTATGCCTCATCAGAAAGAATGACATTGCCCCATTTGTTAGGAAATGGAAAGACTTGGAAAAAATTATATCAAGTCAAGTAAGTATCACCACTTTCCTATCAGCTCTACCAGACATGTGCTCTTCTCTGCCCTCTAGGCTGCTTAGAGGTTTGTTGCTATGTATCTACAACCCATTCATTATTAAATTGGTTGCTTTGATTTTGACTTTTTGCTCTTTAAATTAATTTCATATTTCTCTTACATTTCTACCTTTGTTTTTTGTTAAAAATCAGCATCCTACTCTCTTCTTTTAAATGCCCCACATACATGATTCCAGTCTTTCTTACTGCTTCATTGTATTTCTTCTTCTAGGCTTTAATAGCTAGCAGTAGTTGTAAGAAAACAGAGATACCAGTGACTGCACGGATTCTCATACTTATGTCCAATGGTAAAGGGAGCTACAGTGATATATTCTTGGTGACGAGGGGCTGAGCTTGAACATGTGGTAATATGGTTAGATGGTTTACCTCTTTGAGATACTTCCAAAAGTAAAATCACTTATCACTCGTGTCTCCAGAAACTCCATTTTGAAAACCCTCATGCTTGCCTTCTGCTCCATCATGTCTGAAAATTATAGAATGTTTATTCTCCATCAATGGCCATTTGTTTAAAGAAGCAGTAGCCCCTTTCAAAAAAGCATGTTCTTGAAAAGAATATAAGCTTGGTGGATAAAGTAGAGTAGATTAATCATGATGCCCCAAGAATCTCTGGACCATAAGAGTATGTAGGAAAATGAGCTAATAACTAGAGCAGTTAATGCAGAAAACCATGGGCAGTAGGAAATGTTCTTGTGAAGGGGAATAAATAAATCTCTTGAGATGGGTAGAAAAGTTCCTTTCTAGTGTCACAGAGGCAAACATGGTGTCATTCTCTCAAGGATCATCTCATGTCTTATATCTTTGTAGTCAACTTGCAGCAGTGATAGTTTGTAACAATAATGTTTGTAACTAAATGTGTTGGTCTCTCTCTCTCTTTCTCTCTCTGTGCGAGGATTGGGGCCTGGATGTTTTCCTTTTTAGCTGTTTCACTGAAGTCTAGTGCTTAACTATTTGAGCCATAGTTCTACTTCTAGCTTTTTGGTGGCTAATTGGAATAAGTGTCTCACGGACTTTCATGCCTGAGCTGCCAGTCCTCGGACCTCAGCCTCCTGAGTGTCTAGGACTACAGGTGTGAGCCATCTGTATCTGGCAATTCTCCCTCCCCCACTCTCTTTCATCTTTTGTACTGGTCCTTATGGCTTGAATTTAGCCCAGGTGCTGTCTCTGAGGTTTTTGGCTGACCGCTAGCAACTATACCACTTGAGCGCCAATGTTAATATGTTTCACTGTTCAAGATTTCCTTTTTTCCATTAATTTTAATGAAAACCCACTGAAAGTAAAATTAAGAGAACAAAAAAGCTAGGTGTGGTGTGTCACGCCCATAACCCAGATACTTGGGAGGCAGAAGTTGAGAGGTTTACTGTTGTGAAGTTAGCTTATGCAATAAAAATGACAGGGGTAAAGTTGCTCACACCTTTAATCCCAGCTATATGGGAGATGATGGTAGAAAGAATGCAGTTCCAGGCAAAATGTGTGTTTTGCTATGTGGAAAATAAGTAAAGCCAAAAAGGACTAAGGGTGTGGCTCAAGTGGCAGAATGTGTGCCCAACTGGTATAAAGCCAGGTAAGAAGGGAAAGAGATAGAGAAACACAAATACACACACACACACACACACACACACACACACACACACACACACAGATAAAGAGGAGGGAGGGAGGGAACAGAAAAATGATAGTGGATGATATTTTCCAGAGTTTGTCTTTCATATGTCTTGTCACTTAAAATGTTTTCCATAGTAAGTTAATCACCAATCATCTCCAATGGACACCAAATCTACAAAAGTTCTACATTTTTCTGAAGAAGAAGAAAAAAAGAAAACCCAACACAAACTTGCATTCTCTGCAGAAGCTGTTGTTTTCTACTTAGAATGGAAATGAATGTCTTTCTCTTCCTCTAGCCTTCTCCCCACTCACCCCTCCCAAACAATGTGGACTAATACTATGTCACACTTCAGAGAAGACACAAGGTCGATTGCAGCTGTCTCTGAGTTTACAAACACTCTGGCATCTCAATTGTTCTACTCTTTATCTACTGGTATTCTCTCTTTTTTGGGGGGGGGTCCGGTCGTGGGGCCTGAACTCTGGGCCTGGGCACTGTCCCTCAGCTCTTCAGCTCAAGGCTAGCACTCTACCACTTGAGCCACAGCTCCACTTCCGGCTTTTTTCTTTTTGCTTATGTGGTGCTGAGGAATCGAACCCAGGGCCTCAGGCATGCAAGGCAAGCGCTTTACCACTGAGCCACCTCCCCAGCCCCTCTACTGGTATTCTCTAAGTCCCTCTCTCACATTTTCCTTTTCTCCCTCTTCTTCCTTGCTCTCCTTCTTTGTCTTCCTCTTGCCTCTTCTCTCCTCCTCTTCTTCCTCCTCCTGCTGGGGAACAGAGATTGAGAATCTGATCTTTTCTGAGTATGCACAATACAAAAGATGGATGTATCTGAATTTCTTTTCCAGATTTGATACTTGCAGGCTGATTATATCAACCTACATTTGTCCTTCAGTGACAGACCTAAAAGAAAGCTGAAAAAATTCAAAGGAAGCCAGGCAATTGTACCCACAGCTAGAGATATTCCTGTTACTCCGTGACATGCACTTAGAGAAATGGGAAAACATTCTCATTCTCTTTAACATGTGAAGATTTTAAAAAATAGGAAAAATTACAAATCATTGGCCCACTAGGACAAGTTACAAATGAACTTCTAGAGTTGAAAATATATAACTATAGGTAGTGTAATATAAATTCCTATGTCTCTACATTTAGACACAGAGAGAAATGTCTTTTATATGAACCAGACAATTGAAAATTGGATACCTTAATGTTGCTCAATTTTTAATTTTTAATATTTGTTATTATTATTATTATTGCCAGTCTTGGGGCTTGAGCTCAGGGCCTGGGTGTTGTCCCTGAGCCTTTTTGTGCTCAAGGCTAGCACTCTACTACTTGAGCCACAGTACCACTTCTGCCTTTTTCTGGGAAGTTCATTGGAGATAAGAGTCTCACAGGCTTCTCTGTCCAGGCAGGCTTTAAAGTATGATCCTCAGATCTTAGCCTCCTGACTAGCTAGGAATATAGGCCCGAGCCACCAGCACCCGGCTTTTAATATTTGTTAGTTACTGTGTGAATGTCCTAGGGTTGTTGTTAAAAAGCACCAAACCACAGATGGCTTAAAAACAACAGAACATTACTGCTTCAGTATTTCAGAGGATAGAAGTCAGAAAGCAAAGGGTGGGGAAGGAGACACACTTCAGGGGAGAACTCCTTCTTGCTTCTTCTTCTTTCCGGTTTTATCTTCAAGATTTCTCATCCCTTGGTTGGCATTTGTGTAATAACCAGTATTAGTAACCAGCAACCAGTGACTTGTCTGTCATTCCCATGTCACATCACATTGCCTTCCCTCTATAATATCTATGCCTGTGTCCAAATTTCTTCTCTTTATGATTCAATTCCAGTTGTGTTGGGCTGTTCCTTATGACTTCATTTAGTTTGAACTCTATTGTCAAAATCCTGCTTCCAAGTAAGGCCTCATTCTGAGCTGTTATTGGGGAATGTAACTTCTGTGTATCTTCTGTTATAGAACACAATTCAACACATAACAGCTACATAAACAAGTTGTGTTAATATGCCTCTGTTCTTAATTTATTTTCCACTGAGTGATCAATGTTTGAGGTATATATGAGGTATCTTTTCTTTTTCTAATTCTGTTCCTGGGGCTTGACCTCAGGGCCTGAGTGCTGTCCCTGTTCCTTTCTCAAGGCTAGTGCTCTACTATTTGAGCACAGAGCCATTTCTGGCCTTTTCTGAGTAGTTTATTGGAGATAGGAGACTCATGAACATCCTGTCTGGCCTGGCTTTGAACCATGATACTTAGATCTCAGCCTCCTGAGTAGCTAGGATTACAGGCATGAACCATTGGCACTTGGCTTGAAGTATCTTTAATATCTAAGAATATTATATCATCCCCCTTGGGGGGGTGGGGGGATGGGAAGGGATGGGAAGGGGAAACAACAAAGGAGGAGGCTATAATGCTTGATAAGAAATGTACTCATTATCTTGCCCATGTAATTGTAACCCCTTTGTACAGTATTGTCACCAAAAAAGAATATTATTTCATTATATAGATTGGAAATCTTTTATTACATATTTTATTTATTTTTTAATCCTTAACAAATAATTTTATTTTTTTCTCTTGCTATCCCAATAGAAACAAAGTTTTACAACACCTTTTCCTAACCACACAGCTGAAAAGACAGTTTTAGTCTGTAGAAGTTTATCCTGTCTGGAATGTGTCTTACGTTGTATGAATTATCTCCCTCTCTCCCCTGTTCTTTCTTCCCTCCAGTCATTTTCAGTCACCATCTTCATTTCAGAAATGGTTAAAATTTGTCTCTTGACCTGGTATAGGAGAGGCTACTTATGAGGAATTGCGGTCCTTTTACATGTGTGCATGTGAGCATGCGCCTACACATGCATGTGGGCACAAACACACGTACACACACACAGAGGCAGACGAGCATTGTTAAAGGTGCTGGAGGATGGTGAACAGAGAAAGATAAGGAGAGGGAGAAAGTGCGTGGTAGCCCACCTCCCCAGCCAGGCCTGAAGAGATTAGATACACTCTTTAACTACTCACATGCTCTCTTCCCTGGCCCCTCTTCCTCCGCAAAGCACTGTCTTTTGGAGGGCCGCCTTTACTTCCCGGTTCCTCAGACAGTAAATGATGGGGTTTAACAGCGGAACGAGGACCGTGTAGAGAAGAGACACCACTTTGTTAGAGCTGTAGGCGTACATGAGCTTGGGGCGGGCGTAGGTGAAGAGAGTCGTGGAATAGAAGAGGGCCACCACGGCCAGGTGAGAGGCGCAGGTGGAGAAGGCCTTTTGGCGGCCCTGGGCAGAAGGGATCTTGAGGATGGTGGCGAGAATGGTGATGTAAGATGTCACCACCACACAGAGGGGCACAGCAATGACCAGGAGGGCCAGGAAGAAGTCCACCAGCTCCGCCTGGGAAGAGTCCTGGCAGGAGACATTGAGGAGTGGAGAGATATCACAGAAGTAGTGGTTGATGCGAGGGGTGCCGCAGTAGAGGAGTCGGGCGATGAAAACCATCTTAACCATGGCGGTCAGCAGCCCGCAGAGCCAGCATCCCCCCGCCAGCGCCCCGCAGAGCTGGTTGGTCATGATGACCGGGTAGCGGAGGGGATTGCAGATGGCCACGTAGCGGTCGAAAGCCATGACCGCAAGGAGGATGTACTCGGTGCAGACGAATGTCACGAAGAAGTACAGCTGAGTCATGCAGCCGCAGAAGGAGATGCTCTTGTCCTGGCGGAGGAAGTCTGCCAGCATCTTGGGACTGATGACGGTGACATACCACATCTCCAGGAAGGAGAGATGGCTCAGGAAGAAGTACATGGGCTTGTGCAGCTGCCCGTCGCTGCGGATGGCCAGGATGATGAGAAGGTTCTCGAGCAGAGTCAGCAGGTAGGTTGCCAGGAACACAGAGAAGAGGAGCAACTGGAAGGCTGGCCTTGTTGGAAATCCCAGCAGAATGAAATGTGTCGTTGAGGTGAGGTTACCGACTTCCAGAGCCTTGGGGATCACGGCTGGCTGTGGGCACAGACAGAGTGAGTTCCTTCCATGTTCCCAGTACTAGACTAGGGGTGAATATATTGAAAGCATGACACCCACAATTCATCATCAGAGGTGCCTTTCTGCCTTTCTAACTTTACTTTCCCCCCTCCTCTTGAATCATGAGAACCAAGACATTTGAGCCAAGATTAACTTCAGAGAAATTAGATTTTTATTAAAAAATTAGTTCAAGACAAGTAACTTGTTCAAAGTCACGCAGTAGAGAAATTAAGATCTCTTGATTCCTCAGTTTTCTGCTGAGTTAATTTACTATCGTGGGGTTTAAGATTGCTCCCTCTCTCCTCCCTCTCCGTTGCTGACAAGAAATCCTCCTGTATTAGATGCAATAAGATGACAGGAGACCCAATTTGTCATCTTCTAGATGTAACTTTTGTGATTCTGGAGTGGCTGTGAGGCCACACACATTTATAACATAGAGAAAATTCATTTATCTGTTTTTATCTAAAAGGGTTATAAAGGTTGAGTGAGGCAATTATTGAACACACCTACAAGATGAACACAAAACATGTATGATACAAATACTCAGCAGCTTCTCAGAGAATGAAACTGACTGAATAATTTGAAGAATTTCCTTTGGCTCAATCCTCTGTACAGACTGCTTCATGAAAAGCTTTAAAATATCTTTTGGATAAATGTCCAAGAAGGGTACTGTAAAACTACATTCACAGTCATCTTCACTGGATCACTATTCCCTAGAGCCAAGGTATGGAACCAGCCCAGATGCCTCTCAATGGAAGTATGGATCAAAAAAAATGAGGTATATATATACACAATGGAATTTTATTCATTCATTAGAAAGATTATTACACCATCTGCAAAGAAATAGATCTAGAAAAATTATGTTAGATGAAGTCAGGCACAGAGAGACAAAGGACACATGTTATCTCTCAGATAAGGCAGCTAGAACTGCACAAATAAACACACACAGGGTTGTATGCAAGTGCACTCAAATGTATTAGCCAAAGTAAGGCATTTGTAGAGGAGAATTCAAATATTCACAGTCCAATGAACTAGATAGCAGGAAACGAGCACTTGAAAGGTGTGTGAGGGAGAGGTTAAGGGTAGTGGGTAAATGAATGAAGAGAGGAATAGGGAGAGAGTACAATCATAATATTCAGTGCCTATCTTATGAAACTAGGCAAACGGGAAGGAATGGGTTGGAAGGAATGGGAAGGAATGGTGAAAGTAGTAACATTGATACAGATATACTATATTTATAAATGGATTTGTTGAGTGTTAACTACATTGTACAGCTACATAAAGATAATAAAAATAAAAGCTTTAAAAGTTTAATTAAAACTTGCTTCTCTCTATTGTGTCACTGTCTGCAATATGAGTTACTCTGTTTCTAAGATGAAGATAGATGAGTGGCATTCACATATTGTAAACATCAAATGGGCTTTAGAATTTAAATTAAGCTCCTCTAGGTATTTGCTACCTTTCAAAGCCATTCTCCTTGTCCCCATTTTGTACCTCCTCCCTCAAAAGAATATACACTCTCCCTTCCACAGTGCCCAGGGACAGCCACAGCCCCAAACAACAGAATAAAAAATGATGCAAAGACTGGTTATTAACAAGAAAAGGAGCAAGTGACTGTCAGACTTTTCCAAGAGTGTTAAAGAACTCATAATTCAGGTGAAAGCAATACCAGAAAAAGGCAAAAATCCTTCCTGCTACTCTTCTGCATTCATGCCCAATAATTCACCAAAATGTGTGGCCTCTTTCAGGGGTTTGCTGAAAGTCATTCCAGAATGTCCTGGACATTAAACTGCCAGTCCTTCTCTGTGTCTTACTGCATGATTTCTCCTCTTCTCTTCTCCAGAGCCAAAGTCATTCTCATTTTCCACTTCTGTGGCAGGAATATGTAATCCAATCAGAGGGCCAGGGAATGACTATTTTTTTTCTTATTTTAAAAGAAAATGGTGAAAAGATGAAAAAACTGAAAACTTTCTGCTCTCCTTTCTAAGATCCTTTGGATCTTAGCCTTAGAATTCTGGAGAAAGCTACCATGATCACTTCCTCATGATCTATGATTAGAGAAGAGATAAACAGGCGAGGGAAAAATTAAAACATAGCAAATTTAACAATTGTTTTCTGTTGAAATATAGTTTTACACACACACACACACATCTTAACCTTAATCACCATAACCTAATATTCACTAATGAAAAAGTAGGACAGTAGAAAATCCAACCAAGGCAAGGTTTATCAATCTTCCTTCTTTTTCTTTTTATTCTAATTCATTTTAATTTCTGAATTTGAGTTATTTGAGTCCCTACAATCTGTCTTTTTTTGTTTGTTTGTTTTTGGTGCTTAACTCAGAGCTAGGGCACTATCCTTAAACTTTCTTACTCAAAGCTGGAGCTCTACCACTTCAGCCATAGCTCTACTTCTTCTGGCTTTTTGGCAGTTAATTGGAAAAGTCTCATGGACTTTTCTGCCAGAGCTGGATTTGAACCCTGATCCTCAAGTCTCAGCCTCCTTAGTAGCTAAGATTACAGGTGTGGATTATAGGTACCCATCTTTGGAGTCTGTTTTTAGCTATTTTAGCCCAGTCTCCATCTGGTTCTCTTTTTACTGTATCTTTCACAAACAGATTAACATATCTCTCTCCGCTGAGGAAAGACATGGCACTAAATATTTCAGAGGCACTTTTTTGATCCACTGAAATAGGATACAATCTTGAGATCTGTATTCTTGGACTCAGTGCCTGAATGTATTTTTACAGTCTATACAGGTACAGGATTATACTTTAATGTTTCCTCTTCCTGGAGCCATCTTCAGGGGCTCCTCAAAGAACTCTAGTGTGATGCTACTGATCTAAGAATGACTCTAGGAAATAGTGCAATATTGTTTTCAGCACCCAAACTGAAAGTCATTCTCAAAGTACATGATTCAAAATCATGATTGATTAAAAAAAACATTCTGTTTAATTTTCAGAGTTATAATTAGCAAATAAACTGGGAATATTTTCAGTGAAACTATGCAATCATTAATCCTTTCCTCTCATCTAACAGATGTAGGAATGAATGCAGATACAGATCACAGGTGTTTTAGCACAAAACTAAGGGGACAAAAAGAAAAAGGAACCATAGAATATTAGACTGAGTCATCTCACCTAATGTTTTTTATCATTTGCACAAGGAATTTAGTTTTGAGACTTTTCGTAGTCAAGTAAAACAGACAAAGAAGTGAAGCAGACCACTTTTTTTATTTCTCTAAGTTATCTAGTTAAGTACATGCACATCATGTTAATATAATCATATGCATATCATTTCTGTGTTTTGATACATGGGGACATAGATAATAAATAAGCTACTAAGAGTCACAGGTCATGTGGATATAGTAAGGGGGTGTGTAAGCTCATAATCTCCAGGGTTGGATCGTCTGAGTCACATCCTAGGAGTACTCAAGACTGTTGGGACAGCCCATCTGTCAGGTGTGTGAGGAAGAAAATAAAATGAGCCTCTAGCAGGCAACGGCCTTCCCTCCTGTGGACATGCTTAGGACCTAGGTCCTGCGGAGCCTGTGAGGAATGAATGTCTGTCTGTACCTTCCATGACAGACGCCAGGAAAGCACATCTGCGCCTCACCTGGTTATTACAGCTGACCTCCACAACCAGGGATTCAGATAAAACAAATATCAGGGTGCCTGATTGACCCAGGGATATTTAATATTTATTATTTATCCGAAGGCCACACCGTCCATTGCACAATAGAATTAACATAGAATACTCTAGTCAAACTTACTGCTTGTCACCTAGGAGACAAAAGAGGATGATCTATGAGTTAAATATAAATTTAAAAAATCTGAGCCTTAAATTGTACCTTAGAAAATGGTTTCAGCGGTATTCTGAATGAAAGTGAAAGCTCTAAGGAGTGAAGGATTAAAGTATCAAAAATGGGAGTCAAGATTCTGAGAAAGATTCCAGGACAACAATATCATTCCACACATGTTTGAAAATACAAAGGGAAAACAATTAATAAAGTATCTTAAAAAATGTGTGGAGGGTGGGAATGAAGGAGGAATATATTGGATGGATATGGTCAAAGTGCATTGTTTGTATGTGTGGAAATTTAATAGTAAAATCACTTTATTCACTAAATTAAATAAAAGAAACTGTAACTTAAAATAGTGTTACAAAATCAATGGTATCTTAATTTAAGCTTCTTTTATAGCTAGATAAAAGAATCCTAGAATGATGAAGTGATTTCCCCCACATTAAACATCTCTATATTGACAGAGTAGTCATATTAGTTTCTTGCAAGTTTTAATCTCCATTTATGCACAGAATTCAAGTTAATTCCCTTTATATCCTAATTCATGTTAGCTTAAGAAGTACAAATCAGTCAGGCATTGGTTGCTTACGCTTGCAATCCTAAATACTCAGGAAGCTGGGATTTGAGGATTGTGGTTCAAAGCCAGCCCAGGCAGGATAGTCCATGAGACTTATCTCCAAGTTAATATCTGGAAGTAGATCTGTGGTTCAAGTGGTAGAGTGCCAGCTTTGAGCAAGAAAGCTCAGGAATAGCACCTTGGCCCTGAGTTTAGGTCTCGGCACCAGCACAAAAGAAAAGGTAAATCACCTTAATTTGGAGCTTTATTTCAACAGAATTATTAATGCGATCCTTACATTATAGTTTTTCTTTAAAAGGATGTAATTCACTGACTTTTACAATTGATAGTACATCTGATAGTGTAATTACAAATTACACACACACACACACACACATGTACACCCACATATATACACATCACTAAAAAATAGTAAAGGGTTTTCTTCTGGTGGCTCATACCTACTTAAGGGGCTGAGCTATGGAGAATCATGGTTTGATGCCAGCCCAGATAGAGAAGTCTGTGTGACTCAGTCTCAAAACCAACACAAACCTTGACTGGAAGTATCGGTCAAATAGCAGAGCACTCGCTATGAGCAAAAGAGCTGAATGAAAGGTCTTACACACACACACACACACACACACACACACACACCACACCACACACACACACACACACCCCACACCACACACACACACAGAGTGTCTTGGAGCTGCAGGGAAGGGAACCTGGCAGGTCATAAGACTTAAATCTCCTATGGATTTGTCAGTGTCCAACACATAGACTGAAGCATTTACTTAATCTTTGTCTGATTCTTTGTAGGGACAGAAAACTAAGTGTCTGTGAATATAAACCTTGAAAAAATAAACCTCCGTTTAGGAAGCTTCCTCTTGGGAAATCCAGTGCTTCCACATCTTTGAGTTCATGTCCTGTTTTCAAGTATTGTGTGAAGTCCCACTGAGTTCTCAGAAGATCCCAGCTTGCAGTGTTTGAAGTCAGTGATGGGGTCGACTGGTCCTCCACTTTCCCTATCACCTCCTACCTTATCAGGTCATTTCTTTGAAGCCTCTCAGTTTGATATGTTATATGAGTGGGGTAAATCTTACGTGATCTAAGTTTAACTGGAACATTTCATGAGGAACAGAATCAGAATGCTATGATAAACACATGCAGGATGTAAAGCTTGATTTATTTTTCTGAAAACACAGGAAAGGAATAGCATCCCGCCCTGAGCCTTCCATGGAAAAAAACCGAGAGTCTTTCCCTCTGATTTCCCAGGAGGGTGAAGATGGCCTTCCTCACAGCTCATTAGTGGAGAGGCGAGGACAATGGCGGGTCTGTGGAAGGATCTGCTTTTTTATATTTGTAGGGAAAAGAGAGGAAAGGAAACATCATTATGCAGTCCAAGTGCTCCTGACAACAGAGGTGTTTATAAAATTGTCAGGTCAGGTGTGTGGAACATGCTCTAGGCAGTCTTTGGTCTGCAAATCAGACCAAACGTGAAACGTGACTGAATAATGATTTGTACTCAGCCTAGTCTTTTTAGATTTCATCGGTCTCATAGGAACAGCTATGTTTCAGGGCTATATCCACAACGAACCCTAAGTTGGTGTCTGGATAGAATAACTAGCTTCATGCAGTAACTTCTCTATCCCTCAGTTTCTACTGTTACCTGGATTTAAAAACTATAGGGCAAAATATTCTGTACTCAATACCCCCCATTTCTCTATACCGTTCATAGTTTCTCAAACCATAGCAAATGTTTGAAATATTTTTCTTTCCATCAAAAGCAAAATGACATAGTTTTCTTTTGAGCATTATTATGCTTTGCAGTGTTTCTTAGGATTTCTAGTTAAGGATAAATGGGATCACATAGTGCATTAAATAATCAATACAATGGGAAAAAAGATCTTGCCTTCTCTCTCTCTGGTATTATGAATAGTTGTGAACTTGTCTTTTATCTTTTTAGGAGTTATAAGCCATCAAAACGTTTACAACTAACAACCCGCTTGCCAGCTATGGTCCATATTTGACACAAACCTGGCACACATCTTCACAGACCCACACTCTGCAGCATTTTCTGTCATACATTCTATCTGTTTTTGCCTCCACGTTCTTTTTGTAGCTTTCATCAGAATAGCTTTGGAGAAGTGGCGCTGTGGCTCAAGTGGTAGAGTGCTTGCCTGGAGTTGAAGAGCTCAGGGACAGTGCCCAGGCCCAGAGTTCAGGCCCATGACTGAAAAAACAACAGCAACAACAACCAGAATAGTCTTGGATTCTGTACTTTGCAAGTCCAAGAATCATCTTTAGGTGAATGAACCACTAGGCAGTTCCTAGAGTCATGGGTCTATTTATCTAGAGTTTGCTCTCATGGTAGAATCTTAACAAGCCAGGTAACACCTAGGGATCCCTCACACTTTCATGTGCTAAAAAAAGTTCCATTGAATTAAAATAATTTTTCTATGCACTAAGTTCCCTCTCTTCATATATACTTCGTTGTACTATTTCTTACCACAGGCTAAACAAAGTCAATGCATTTTCTAAAATCTGTGAAATACAAATCCTGAGGAATAATGCCAGTAAAAATGACTTCTAATTATTCTCTGCTTCTCTTCAAAATGGCAGTTTAAAACAGGATGAATTATTCTTTTGTAAATCTCTGAAGGTTCTTTTTGTCCCCCAACTCACCATTTTTCTCAGAGATACAACTCCGTTCCTAGCCTTGTTGTAGAGATCCAGCTTGCACTGAAGAGAGGAAGTCATAACAGTGGAGATGACAATGGTTCTCAGCCTACAGAGTTGCTGGACAGGTCTGGTACATGTCTCTGCTAAGCTTAAGGAAGACACCAAACAGAGCTATTTGTGCTTCTTCTGCCTCCTTCCAAGTGACTGGAGGAGCACAAGCCAACTCCCTCCCGCCCACAGGGGACCTTTGAAGATATATAGCCTTCAGCTTTTCTAGGACTTGTGGGCATCCTGGGAGGATAGGGGAAAAGTGAGTGAGCGAAATGGGACCTTAAGGCACAAAGGAGAACCTTAGTCGTACTGCTGGTATATGGTTCTGACTTCCTGAACAGACTCAGTGAAGGGGAGAGAGGGTTAACACTCTATAGGTTTAATCCAGACTCCTAATATAGAGAAGGAAATAGCGATACATACAGTTAAATATCGTCATGCAAAACAGTTTGCTGCTTTCAAGTTGGAAAAACATTGAGCTAAATAGCTTCTCATCCAACACTGTGATGAATATACCACTTACCCACCAACTTTTCTAAGTATTATGCTTTTCATCTTTAAAAGATACTAACACCACGCCAAAAGTTGGGGAGCTATAGTTCCTAGCTTTGGATCCTGGTCCAGTCATCTACTTACATGACCTTAAGCAGTATTTTTATTAATTGGAGAAGTGGAATTTGATTATCTTGGGTTATGTGTTATGGTGTGCCAAGCTGTATATGTAAAGGTGTTTACTTGCTACATAAGTGAAAACTTTTACTTGTGATTACTTGTAGGTTGTAGTAAAATAGAAGGTATTCAGAAAAGTTTTTTTCTTTTTTGTTGCCAAAGTGATATACAGAGGGGTTACAGTTTCGTAAGTAAGGTAATAAGTACATTTCTTGGTACACTTCTTACCTCTTCCCTCATTTTTCTCATCCTTTCCTCCCCCCTACCCCCACCCCCAAAGTTGTACAGATCCTTTCCAACATATTGCTTTGTGTATATCACTGTTACATTGGTTCTTTGTCTTACCATTCTGTCGTTCCCCTTCCCTTCCCTAATTCAAATAAACATATGTACAATACCAGGATACCAAAATCAAACACAGTGACAACAGGGGATATACCATAGACGGAAGAGCATACAAAAGAAACAAAAAATAACAGTACCTTAAAATTACAACAACAAAGAGAAACTTATTGTGTCTATGTCTTGGAGTTCATTTCACTTAACGTCATCTTATATGGTCATAGGTACATAGCTATTGAATAATCACAAAAGTTTTAATTTCTAATTTCCTGAGAAATACACTTGCTGATGCACATAAGAGTTCTCAGGGTTGGGAAGTTGGCTCAGTGGTAGAGCACTTGCCTTGCATGCTTGAGGCTCTGGGTTCGATTCCTCAGCACCACATAAGCAGAAAAAAAAAGCCCGAAGTGGCGCTGTGGCTCAAATGGTAGAGCGCTAGCCTTGAGCTGAAGAGCTGAGGGACAGCACCCAAGCCCAGAGTTCGGGCCCCACAACCGGACCCCCCCCCAAAATGAAAGAGTTCTCAGTATTTTAAACTGACATACTTTAATTAAAGTAAAGGAACTATTTCTGATTAAGCAGCTTGTGGTAACTGGCTTTTCCACCAAGTATGTTTTGTTATCATTCTAGTCTTCATTTTAACGAAAGATGGTACTTGTGGTATGGGACGTCTATATTTTTCTTTATTAGTGCATAAATTGTGTCATCATGACTCTCTTCATGACTTTTTCCACATGTATGCTTTTGTTCCTCTGTATCCTATTACTCTTCTTGCTCCCGTTTCTCCTCTCCTTTCCCTTTATCTTCTATTAAACCCCTAGTAGTCTCTCTTTATCTTCCATGCCCTTCTTTCCCCCCTGAGATTCCACTTATAAGATAGAGCATGTGATACTTGTTTTGGGGTGGCTGATTTATTTCACCTAAAATGATAATCCCTAATTGCACCCATTGTCCACATAATTTCATTCTGTATGGTTGAGTCAAACTTCACTGTATACCTATGTCCTATATTTTCTTTATCCATTCATCCACTGATGGCTGATCCCATATTTTGATTAATATGAATAGTGCTGTAATAAATATGGTATGTAACTATTCCTGTGCTAAGCTGACTTTGATTCTTTTGGGTATGTATAGAAGTGGTAGAGTTGATAAAATGCAAATTCTATTTTAAAATTTTTTGAGGAACCTCCATACAATCAGTGTCCACAGTAGCTGGGCTATTTTATATTCCCATAGTCAGAGAAAAAGAATTCCTATTTCCTACATCCTTCCCAAACTTTTTTGTTTTCTTGATGGTAGACATTCAGACTGGCATGATAGAATCTCCATGTACTCTTATTTGCCAGTCCTGAGGCTTGAATTCAGGGCCTTAGCACTATCTCTGAGATTTTTTTCCTCTTCAAGGCTAGCACTCCACCACTTGAGTCATAGCTCCACCTTGGGGGTTTTTGGTGGTTAAATTGTAAATGAGAGTCTCAAGGACTTTCCTGTCTGGACTGTCTTCAAACCATGATCCTCATATCTCAGCCTCTTGAGTAGCTAGGATTATAGGCAGAAGCCACTGACCCATAGCACATAGAGTAATTGTTAAGTGAAAAAGTAAAATCTCTTCATTTTTTCTTTTGTTCTAGAATTTCATAATTCTTTCTGAATATTGTATACTATTTTCTTTCTTAAGTAGAAAGAATGTTCAGTCAGGTAACCATGCCTAGGCTTTTTAATGAAATATCTTCTGAATAAAAATCACATAATTATGATTTCTTTTCTTAGGAGAGTACAGAGGGGGAAGAATACTTCAGATAAAGTCTCTCTCTCTCTCTCTCTCTCTCTCTCTCTCTCAGGCTGGTCTCCAACTCTGGATTCTCAATCTTTTGCCTCCAGAGTGTTGGGACTGGAGATATTCACCATCATGGTTGACATTTATTTTTAAATACAGGAACATTCTTAGTTATGCTGCATAGTGCCATTATGTTAAAAGACATTGCTTTTATTTTTAAAATCATAATTAACTTGATTACATGCTAGTGTTTCCTATGTTAATTCTATCTTGAGAAAAGCGGCATGCACAGGGTACACATGCCAAAACAAAATGAAATTACATAAAATAAAAAGAAAGGGAAGCACAGCTAAAATAAAATTAGACAAACCCAGAGACAGCTACTGGAATTAGAAATATGTTGTCTGAGAGAATTAACTCGCCTTTATCTGGCTATCCTTGTGAATTACAACTGCACAGAGATGGCAAATATCACATTTTGCAGAATGACAAAACATGAGATTTGGAAAGGGCATGATATTTCTCTAAAACATATTCCATTAAATATGGTTAAAAATTGACAACCTAAAGCTAGACATATTTGGAATAATTCTGAAAGAATGACAAATATTAAACCAATGCCATTTAAAAATTAAACCTAACATGATAATATGAGACCTTCAATCTTAGTTTAAGAATGAGGCTGACACATGGTTACTTGAACAGGCATATCTGTTAGAGGAATATAATGATATTCATTAGAAAATGAAGATGAGGATGAAGCTTAACATTCAGTGAATTGCTTACTGTGAGCTGTGTTATATGCTGAAGGCAAAGGTCATGCTTGGCATCAAAGTAGCTTTAGGAAACAGGATAGAAGATACACCATCTCAGCAGGACATTGAGAAGGTTGTCTTATGGGCTGGGAGTCTTGTAAAAGGCAAGTGGGAAAATTGTCATTCATAATCATAACTGATCTGTACACCAGTGGATCATGCCTTTAATCCTAGCTATTCAAGAGGCTGAGATCTGAAGACCATGGTTCAAAGCCAGTCTGGGCAGAAAAGTCCCTGGGGGACTCGTATTTCCAATTAAACACTCAAAAACTAAAAGTGAAATGGTTATTCAAAGTGGTAGAATGCTAGCCTTGAGTGAAAAGCTCAGGAACAATGCCCAGGCCCTAAGTTCAAGCACCACAACCAACCAAAAAAATCATAGCTTATGTATGAGAACACAAGATTTACATAAAAGAGTTAAGTGTCTTCCCTGATTTGGAAGCTTTAAACCCATAAGAACCAATGTCTCGTAACAATTTCACGTGCAGCCATAGTTTCTAAGAAAGATAAACCAAGTTAACAAAGTAGTTGAGGTTACAATTTCTCAGTGAGCAGTTAAAATAATTATCTTCCCAGAAAAAGGATGCTTACCAATCAGAGGTGTTATCTACAACATTCATCAGGTTTTTCAAGAGATTAAACTAGAATGTCAACCTTAGTTCAAATTTATCCATTGAGTTTGTTAATTCTTTGCTCACACATGTTATTTATACAATATTATCAACATTCATATGAGGTAACTGATATTATTTTAATTATAAGAGGGAAAATAAAGAACAGAGATGTAAATGGAGATGATCATATAGTGGTGCCACCAATATCAACCCAAAACTTGTTAGTTTTAGAGTCTGAACTCTAAATCACACACATATGCCTTCCATAACTCTACGAAAGAAGAAGAGAATGTAATATAGCCTGAACCATACTCAGAGAAGTTGCTAAGATTATCTAGAAATTGTTATAAAGATAAGAGCCAACCTAAAGATCAGGGATGGAGAGTGTAGCTCAAGTAGTGGGATATTTGCCTATCAAGCACTAGACCTTGATTTCAGACCCCAGGACTTCCAAAATGGGAGAAAGAAACAGAGCCACATGTATTAATTTAGTATCAGACCTTTTTGGTAATTCCATTTGAAGTATTGGAAAACCCAACATGATTCTTGGTCAAGTAGATTTTCCCTTATGGCCGGCCATTATCCCAGCTCCTCATCCCTTCCCAGCCTGGCTTAGCATAGGCAAAGATACACTGATTTTATTGTGACTTTTATCTGTATTTTTTCTGATTTGTTCAATTTAATATTTATTTCAATCTTTCATATGTTCTGAATCTAAATTATAACTATTGAAATTGGTTCTCTGTGCAGAAGTTTGGGTAAATGGGGCTAGAGTCTGGATATGAAAAGAAAGATCTGAGAACTTCA